GCTTTGATTCTTTGGGTGAGATCCAAGCCGGGTCGACATACTTAATGAATTGGGTAGTAACATTATGTGTTTGATGTGCTATTAGGATATTTACGGTCACCATGTGCGTTAGTATGATGATGTCCCCGAAGTGAGTTCATGAAGGAATATTATGCTAAACCCTGCAGGTGGATTTATTCCGGCATAATATGAATGCTATGAGCGAGCGCTAGCTTCGGTAACATAATATATTAATTAATTCCTGATTATTAGTGATCAAATTAATAAATGGACATTATATCTTAAACATGGGGAGGTAAATCGGATAATTATAATAAGGAGTCTCAAATGTAATTTGGGATAGGTGAGGGGAGTGCAATAATATTATTGTGGTGGACTTTAATATTATTAATATATTAATTGTGGGGTTGCTCCACAGTATTAATATATTAGAAGCCCTTATCTTATATTCCTTAGGGTCCCTACTGTAGCTCTATATATACAGCATTAGGCTCATGGAAGAAAAAAGAACAATCTCATAACTTGGGAATTGCGTCCAGCTCTTTTTCTCTCTCTTCCAAGGAGTTCTTCTATTTCTTGTGTTCCACTGATACAAGATCTAGAAAGCTGTTTGAGAATACAGTAGAAGATCTTAATGTATATAGAGATTCCAATCATACATCCAAACCGGAGACCAAAACCAGCAAGTGACCATACCACGACGACCAGGACGACGAGACGAAGAGATCGCCGTCGAGATCGCCGCCGGAATCCGCCGCACGCGCCGCCACGCGCCACCGGGAGGAACCTGGTGCTGGAAGTTGTCGTCGCGCGTGAGAGCGCGTGAGGAGGCTGTTTTCCGACCGATCAACGCCGTTGACTTCGCCGTCACGTCAACTTTCTGGGTTGGTCAAGTTTGTTCGATTCCGAGAAGATTTGATTTGCGGTCATCTGTCCGGGCCAGCCAGATCTACATAAATTTTAAGTAGTAAGTTTTCTTCATCAAACCTTTAGATCCGCTGCGCATAGGTTTATGTTGAATGTTTATCTGTGATTTGTGCATATCGAGATCCTCATGGGTTCCAACAGATGCGTGACCATCCGCTTCTCCACTCGTGTCCTTCACGTGACTGGCCTCCCCTTGGGTAAGAACTGGGATCTTGACTCTGGGTGGAGTAATAGGCGTCTCCTCCCCCATACGCCCGTCTGACGGCGCGTGTGCCCCAAACGGTGGGAAACCAAACACTTGGAGTGGTGGTCTGAGGCTGGGAATCGGCGGAGGTCGCTTGTCAGTCCACGTTGTCCTGAAATCTTCATTCAAGTTTTTCTGCAATACTTCCTTCTCAGCCATCGGAGACAGATCAAAGCTAGGTGTAAAGCTCTTAATTCCTTCAAGAACTCCCCACAGACGGCGCCAAAATGATGGGTCTCCTCTCAGATCCGGAGTGAACCAATGAAAAACCGTCCAGATCTGGAATGAACCGATTGGAATGAGCTCAGATCTGACTCGATAGCCTCCAAACCGCTGTTGAACCGTGAGAACACCTGCAAGAACTCAACGCCGGAGGGGTTTCCGGCGTAGAGCCTCCGACGCTCAAGTCAGTGTGTGAAAGAGATGAAGAGAGCTGCTCTGAGAGAGCAGCAGCAGCAGTAATAGAGAAGAATGTAGAATGAATGGGAGTTCGTGTTTTGGAGTTACCTCAGCTCCTTTATATAGAAGTAAAACATCTACCTGAAGTCCCCAAAATGCCCTGGCCGACTTACTGGAAATGTCCAAAATACCGTGGTCGGTTCACATCATGTCCACCTCCTAGTCAGCATCTAGATTCTTCCTTATCCTTTAATAGCTTCCCTCTGATATGTTGAAGTGTATTGGAGTCGTCGGGGATCCATGAACCCCGAGACTACTTCAGTCGACTTCGAGATATCCTTGTATTCGAGTCGGCTGGGTCATTCCCCAATCGCTAGTACATCCTAATACACTTATTCATCCTTCTAGACGGAATCGACTTAGGCTAGTCGACATTGTGGAAGTCGACTAAGAAAAGCATCCGGACCTTCGACCGAATGTATTATCACGAGGAGATATGTGGGTGGAGTCGACTTCGGGTGAGTCGACTCGACAATGTCCGAGCCGGGACAACATAAACGACTCTATGATAGTATGGTTATATCAGTGTCCCACATAAGAAAATTAAAGGTTCCCAGTCCAATATTTAAGCTTGATTGGCTACTCTTTCTATTGTCAATTGGTTTTAGAATGGAACCTCGTTTGGGCTTGTATGTTGGGCTAGATGGAGAACTGGACTTGAGTTGTTGTTCGACCACCTCTTAGATAATGAGAGTGTACACTTCGTCAATCGTTGATCCAATGGGCATAGAGAACACAAACAATTCATTCTTGTACGTATAACTCCCTAGTACATCACTTTGTGCCCCTTCCATGTATCTAACAATAATTGAATAAATAAATAAAAAAAAACTTCACATTTCCCAGCAAATGTGGTATAAAACAATATTAAAGTGGTACTATAAACATACAAACAGAGGTACAACAATCAAGAATAGTGGTACAATGATCATTCCCACCTTATTTTCTTGTTTTAGGGTGAATAACACATTATATAACCTAAGGATAACATCAGTTTCGTATACATGAACAAGAAAAAAAGAGATTTTGATCAATTTAATTGATTTAAGGTAAATATTAACAACAATATTCAAAATTCAATCCTTAACAAATTAACCAAAAATATATGAATTAAACATGATTTTTGGACTCTAAAATCCTCATATAATATATATATATATATATATATATA